CACACACACACACACACACACACCTACTGAAAGCATAAAAGGGTTTTTGACATCCGCAGTTCCGGAGCCCCTAAGCGAACAGAGAAAATGAAATTTCCAAACGGTGTTAAGTCATTGCCAGTCAGATACACAAGTCAGTCCTGTGTGGAATAACCAAGCTTAGACCTGGCTGAAATTCTGATTGGAGATTTTTCATGCTCTCTGTTCTAGAAACTCGGGAGAATTACTGTTCTGGACTTCTTGTCCCTTGGAATTGCTTCACCTTTCAACTCATGGACCTCAGGCTCCATTCTCCGACTTGACATTCTGTTTAGCGTCTCCTGTCACTCTGCCTCTATGTATGTTCTCCGAAGACGCAACATCGGCATCTTTCAGCTTTTCCTAGGAATTCATATTCACTTATAAATGAATTAGCCCTCCTATGTATTTTATGAATATGCATACCTTACCTATGTATAAATTGCTAACATCTCTCAAGAGCTCTCTTTGGTTGCCAAGTATTGTTCCAAGCATTTACACAAATTGTTCTGTTTATCTTTTTGTTTATTCATTTATTTACTGAGATAAAGTTTCATTCACCTGGCTAGGCTGGCCTTGCTTTGTAGCCAAAGCCAGCCTTGAACGCTTGATCCTCCTATATCCACACCCCCCAATTGTCTAAAATACAGTTGTACATTTTCACCTTTGGCTGAGTTACCCCTTTAATTCTCAATAAATCAGTATTTATTGATTAATAAATACTGTTATTTTTAGATTATAAATTAAGAAACTGGGGGATTCAAAGCCTGTCATACTTGCCCAAGGCCATGGAGGTAGACTTAGTAAACAGAACTCAAGCCCAGTGCTTCTATCTGTTTCATTGCTGTCCTGGAACTTGCTTTGTACGCCAGGCTGGTCTTGGGCTCACAGAGAGCTGCCTGCCTCTGCCTTCCAAGTTTTAGGATTAAAGTGTGTGCCACTACCACCCACCTGCTCTGTGTTTTTAATCACTACATTTGTATCTGAAACTTTTCTGTAATATTGTACCAAATTGTTAAATAAGTGTCTGATGGAATTGGGCTTGTAATAGGGCTCTAGACCTTAATAGGCTCCCAGACCTTAGCATAACTGACTTCATGATGGAAATACCATTCAGGCCATAAAATCAGCACATAGACAGTACTATCTGCCAAAACAAAAGCAAAGGCCGAATCCATCAACGTCCATAGTTCTGAGAAAGTCTCTAGATGTATTAACCTTACGTTTTGACTTCTGTAGTTCTGCTTCTGGCTAACTGTCCTTGATTACTGAAATATGTCAGCCCAGAACATGGCTTTTGTACTTAAAAGCTCACCCTGAGAAAGGCTCAATGCTACTAAGATCCTGAACACCCAGTGTAGTTGCTGGCCAGCTAATTGAAAGCTAAGACTTTCAATTGGCTTAACCTCATGTCTAAGCAGTCTTCTCTGGCAAAGACTCTCCCCTTTCCCTACCACCCAACTTTGTATCTTTTTTCCTTGTACATCAAGTCCATTTTTGTTGTTTATATAAACATGGATGTGTGGCCTTCCATTGAAGCACTGATCCACCTACCAATGGGAAACACTCTTAAGGAAAATGGAGCACTTCCTTTCTCAGAAGCTAGCAAGAGCTCCTTGGCTAGGGGTGGGACTTCCTGTCTACCTCCCCTCTCCAGGGGGATATTTGACGAGGCTTGAGCTCTTGGGGAGTCTGTGCATTCTGTCTGCTGCTGTGATTTAGTATGTGGAGTTGTCCTGTTGTGTCCAATGGACACTGTTTTCTTGTATTCATCTTCTACCTCTGGCTCTTATAGTTCCACAATGGTCCCTGAGCCTTGGGAGTAGAGGGTGCAGTAGACATTCCAATCAGGGCTAAGCGTTCTCTGCTCCTTGAGCAGTTATGGGTCTCTGTGTTAATCGCCATATGTTGCAAGTGAAAGTTTCTCTGCCAAGGGTTGAGTGATGCACTAATCTACAGGTATTAGAGATTGACTATGAACATCAAGTTACTTAAAGTTACTGTCAACTTTGAATTTTCTTAATCTACCTCCCTTAATCATTTCTAAGCACAGGTGACCTTCCAGAAGGGACTCTGGCCAGCCCTGGCCTGGCAAACATAGCTGTAGCAGGCCTTGTCTTTCTCTCCATTCTCTCTGCCTTGCACAAAACTATTAGAATACATTACTTATGCTAACTCCCCAAATCTATTCCATTATAAGACCACATCTTCTGATGGAGGAGGGTCATCTATCTATCTGTTGTTTCATTGGTTAATTAATAAAGAAAACTGCTTGGCCTGATATGTTAGAACATAGGTAGGCGGGGAAGACAGAACAGAAGGCTGGGAAGAAGGGAAGTGAGGCAGACGTGATGGAGCTCCGGACCAAGATGGACATAGGCTAGAATCCTTCCGGGTAAGCCACCACCTCGTGGCGCTACACACATTAATAGAAATGGGTTAATCAAGATATGAGTATTAGCCATTAAGAGGCTGGAAATAATAGGCCAAGCAGTATTTAAATGAATACAATTTGTGTGTTGTTATTTCAGGGCATAAGCTAGCCAGGCGGCTGGGAGCCGGGCCGCAGCCTGCTGCTCATATCACTACATTCTTCCTTCTGAGGCCAACTGCCAAGGCCCAGCTATCAAAGTATTGATAGTAATCTAAAGCCCCTGTTAGCTGCCCTAATTAATATTCCCTATTAAACGTCTCATCCTATCATGAGGTTTCCCTTTGGGTCATGTCTATCTCCTCTCTCTATCCAGAAGCAGCCCTTTGTCCCACTCTAGGACAAATATCCCTGCCCCTCCCCCTCATTCCCTCTCCCCCATCCTCTTTCTCCTGTCTTTGTCTCTTATTTCCTGCCCTCTGTCCCTCTGGGGCCAATAAATCTACTTTGTGCTGAGAGCTTAGTCTTGGGGGTCCTTATACTTCCTCTCTGTTCCCAGGAAAGGTGTATCACCACATGTTGGGCTCCACCCCTGGAGATGA